ATTGTTGAATACTACCCAATCAGAATATGAGGTCAGGTGTAACGTGATATGGTTTTCGCATTCTGATTGGTCAACTAGAAGATCTGCAAAAAAATTCGCTTTTATTTGGATAAATTTCAGAAATTACCAAAAATTTTGGAAAATTTGGATAAATTTTTTAAAAAATTTTTGCCGGTCCCTGCCCCGCAGAAGCTACGGTCAGTTCTTAGGGACAGTTCAGTGGCCAGAATTAGGATTAGGGTTAGGGTAGGTGGATTGAGTTGATGTTAGTCAGAATGCACTGTCCGTAGACTCGGCGCGGTTACCCGGCTCTGATTACTACATTTCTCGAACAATTACTTCATTTTTATTTACCCAATTTAATGAACATTCGGTATCGATTACTTAATTTAAACAAAGCTTTTTTTAGATTTGACGTTATTTGTTTTCCGACTATCATGTAACAGTAAAAACGATCCTACGCCCTGTCAAAATTTGCGGTAGTTGGTGAAAGAATGTATTTAAAGGATGATTCTTGCTGGAGGGCAAAGAGAATCCTTACGAATACGTAACATATGCATAAATAGAACTCTCTTTGATTAATAAATAAAATATAATAACTGTATAATATTTGCTCTCCCAATATAAAAATTACATTCTCTTAAAACTCTAACGCTAATTAATGTTCACGGCTTAAGGCTAAATCCGGCAATGAAGTATACAAGTCTCTTCCCAAGCCGTGACACCGGCATTAAGCAATAATACCAGCCAACTGTGTTATAGCAAGATAACATATGGGCAACTTTGCCTAGTATATAAGCCGCTTTATTGGTAAAATTTATAGAAAAATTTAATAATTTCGACTTACGTTGGGTTCAAATGAACCTGATGTGGATTTAAATAAACCCACGTTGGGTTCATTTAAACCTAAAATGGGTTCATTTGAACCCAAGTTAGGTTTATTTGAATTTAGACCTAAGACATAGAAATAATTAAAACTCGAACCCGGGCAATGACCGGATCCTAAGAGCTAGTTAATTTATATAATAATTAATCAGGAGGACTTTTAGAAATCGTCCTATTTAACTATATTTCAAAAATACAGTAATAATAATAATAACCATGTCCGAAGAATTTAAAGCAAAAATTGTTGGTGATAATTACGACATAAAACGTCGCGAAGCTCTTAAAAAGATTGATAATGCTAAATTTGATTTTGGAAAAAGTTCACTTCCATCAGATGTTGATTTGGGTGTGAAAGTTGCAACACTTTTTGATCCTCGTTTTTGGAATATTGGCAGATGTCATAGGTCACAAAAAGGTGATGAATTATTTAATTTCGGTATAATTATAACAAATTTGTATTATTTATAGATGTATGGTATTGAACTAATGATCATAATCTTCGCTACCTTGTCCGGTTGCGTCGTTACAAATTCCTATGTTTTTTCACCTGTTTCAAATTCTAATGTCGTCTCCGCTCAAGGCCTTATCATCTTTTGGCGCCTTATTTTAGGTATTTGCATTGGTGGAGACAACCCTCTTTCGGCAGGTAAAAAATTTGTAAAAAAATTTCTTTAATGAACTTATTTCCTCACTCACCTCATGTGATTTTTTTTTTTTTTAAAAAAAAAATAGTTATTACAGTCAGATCTCTCTAAGTGCACCCTCCATAAGTGCACACCCTCTCTAAATGCACGCTCAAGTGCCGGCCCAAATTATACTTGACCTCCATAAATGCACTTTTTCTTATTATTCTCTATATGCAATATTGAAGTGTGGTCCCAAGGGCGTGCACTTGAAAGGTCTGACTGTATTAGCGAATTCGCTACAACTTCGAGAAGAGGTGCTATAATAGCTGCCGTATTTGCCGTGCAAGGTATCGGGATATTGGCAGCAGCCATCGTTTCAACTGTCACAATAGTAGCATTCCAGTCTACTATTACACCAAATGATTATTCACACTTTGATTATGTGTGGAGAATTGTCACTGGAATAGGAGCAATCCCAGGAGTTGTTGCCCTTTATTTCCGACTTAAAATACCAGAAACACCTCGGTTTACTATGGATCTTGAACGTAATGTCAATCAGGCAGTTCAAGATATCGACACAGTATTAAAAACAGGTTTATACAAGCCTCGTGAACAAGAAGTCATCGTTAAAGTTGAGGCACCAAAGGCTAGTTTTACAGATTTCTTTGGACATTCTGGTAAATGGGAAAACGAAAAAGTTTTATTTGGAACAGCTTTTACATGGTTCGTACTTGATATAGCTTTTTGCGGTATCACTCTAAATAGCAATATTATTTTAAACCAAATTGAATTCCTTGGAGATGGTAAAGATCCATATGAAACATTATTTAAAACATCGGTTGGTAATATTATCTTGGGGTCGACGCCCAATCCAACTTATGGATTTGCCTGGCTTACAGCGTTATTCATAGTTCTTGGATTTGGTTATCTTGAATACATCTGATAATCTTTTCATATTTATATATACATTAGCACAAGTAAGTTTTTATATTAAGTAAAAATATTATATATAATTTTTATTAATTGAAAATTGGTTTCACAGTTCTTCTTTAATTTTGGACCTAACACCACTACAATCTTTATACCTGGTGAAATATTTACGACTCGATATCGTTCAACTGGACACAGTATAAGCGCTGCATCAGGAAAATTGGGAGCTATTATTTCACATGTCTGATTTTTCAAATTGAAGATATTGGTGGCGCACCTAATTCAAATGCATTTATAGACCATTTATTTAAAATCTTTACAATTTTTATACTTTCTGGCTTAATAGTTACTTACTTCTTCGTGCCAGAAACAAAGAATAAATCATTAGAAACTTTATCAAATGAAAATCAAAAAGGATTTATCAAAGATAATCATTAGGTTTCTGTTAAATGAATTATATGCAATATTTATAATATATTCTGATTATGTATTTATAATTTTATAATATTCCTATTTAATTTAATGTTTAACATTTAATGCCTATCGTTATATCGATATACAGTCGACTCCGAATATAACGAACCTTTTTATAACGAACACATTATATAACGAACTTTTTTTTCAAATTTATTATAAGTTCGGTATATAATATATAATAAATTACTATTTAATGAACTTTTGAAAATTTTTACTATAAGACTCGTCAGTTCGTTATAAACAGAGTTAACTGTAATTTTGTTTAATTAATTACAAGTTATTTCCAAAATTGTTTGGGACGATCATGAACTTGTAATTTTTGGTTTGTATTTATTCTTTTAGTGTGTCCTTTGAGCCCCTGTGAGCCACCACTTTGCTCATTTTATCCAAAAGGAAATTGTTTGTTCGAGCATTTTTATTTTGGCCTTGATCTTGATCTAGAGCTAGAGCTTGTGTTGTATTGTGTTGTGTATTGTGTTGGTAGGTTCTCAAAAAAGAACATAATTTTTAAATACAATGTTCTCAAACTTTTTTAAATGTCCTTGAGAACACTGAGAACATTAGATATCTAACACTGTTCCGATCTAGTCTAATGCCATTCCCAAAAATTTTTTTAACGTTCTCATATTATATTTATAGAAAAATAAAAAGCTGGGCTTTGCATTTTTTAGGGTAAATAGTATTTAATTAAATAAAAAAAAATGAATTACAAAACTGCGCATAATGATGTACGTACGTTGTGATGGGGTGACTGATAAACTTAAACCTAAAACTAATCTAACAAACTATCTGCTACACAAGATAGTGTATATTTGGCAACCTCAAGACTCTAAAACCTTGAGTGGTAGGCTTCGAATAGAGGCGTGGAAAGACTTGGTCCGAGTATCAAGG